TGATGTGAAACAATGTAGGCTTTAAGATTTAATTTCAAGAAATCAGCTTTTAAATTTTTTTTTCTGGGGTTTCAATTAATGATCTGGGTTGAGAGTTGGACACATATGTGACCAGAAAAAAAGAATTTGAAGGGGATGATAACCAATGTACATTCAGAAGGAGGTCTTGAGGAGATCTGCCCAGGGCTCTCTTTCATGTAACAAGTTTATTAATAACTTCAATAAGGCCGGAAGTAGCTTGCTTATCACATGCAAGTACGACATGAGCTGGGGGAGACAGATTAATACATTGATTGATAAAATCCAAAATGAACTTGACAGCTTGGATCTTGAACTGAATCTAACAAGACCAGCCTTAAATAGCTTCTGTGCTGGGTCAGCATTCAATTTGACAACCAAGAAGGGAAAACTATGGCTTATTAGTGCCTTTGTGTGTGTGTGGGGGGGTGTTATATCAATATGAGCAAAAATGTGAAAAAGAGTTGTCAAAAGAGTTCCCTGGATCTTGGCTCTCTGACTGACCAGCAGAGGCCAGAACCAGGGGAAGGGGAGGCCCCCATTCAGCTCCAGACACACCTCTGTGCTTTCAGCAATAACCAGGAAAACAGTCTGCTCAGAGGACAAGGGCCAGCTGATGAGTGGCCAGAAATCATGTCCTCTGAGGATGTCCTGGAAGAACAAATTCATTTAGGATGAAAAATGAGAATTCCCACAAGAGATCAAAGATGTGTTTTCAAATTTTTAAACCATGCTGAGTCCCAGGCCTGATCTCAGAAGTTTAGACCCCATAATTAAGGAGGAGAATTTAGTAATCTACCCCTTTTCAGACATCCCCAGGTGAGAATGATGATCAGACAGATTATTTTTTAAAGCCTAGATTATATGACTTCCAGAGTAGCTTCCAATTCACTTTATACTCTTAAAATGTTTCACTTTTCAAAGTGTGTATGCCTGTGTCTCTGTGTGTGTCTATATGTGTGTGTACAGTCATGCTCTGCCTAAAGACCTTTTGCTCACTAAAGGGTCACATATATGACAGTGGTTCCATCAGATCATCTCATGATCTGATGACATGGTAGCCATCTTACTTTGCATAAATAAATACGCTACAATGTCCAGAGTGGGCAACAAAATTGTTAAGGATGCATGTCTTAGATTATCCTTAAGTGACAAATGATTTATATTCATGTGTGTGCGCGCACACACTCGCACACACACACACACACACACACACACGCTTTTTAAAAATACTCTTTAAATTGATCTATCCTCCAGTATGTAGTCAAATCCTGAGTTAGATATTTCAGTGACTGCTACTGCTTCCCCACCCCTGCCCAGCGCCAGCCTCCAATTGCATAAGGAACTCTAGGCAACCCAGGCTGCCCTCCCAGGCTCAGAGGCTCAGTAAGCTCAGGGTGAGGCCTGGGAATCTGGCATTTGTAAACAGCTTCCATGGTAAAATGCTTCCCAAGTTTGACAACCACTCTGACATAAGGAACAGTCTAGGGAGAGAAGAGGGATTCGATCCTATCCTGCCACCAAGAAAAGCTTTGCTCATCACTGAGTTTGAGATAACTGCATTTATAAATTGACAGGCTTCACTGCAGGGACTAAGAGGGAAGAAAAGCTGCAGGTGGAAACAAAGGCTGGAAAGGGGAATCAAAGTTAATTGGCTACTGAGATACAATTCTCCCTCTCCAGGTGTGGTGGGTGTCAGCTGACCCTCCACACATCTGTGTGTGACTCCGGAGACTCTGACCCATTATTTATGCCCCTTAATTAGTTCTTGGACTTCACATGTGCCACCTCCATTAGTGCTAATGGGAGTTTTGTGCAGTCAGCTGGGGAAGAGAACCCCGATAATTGTGGGGTTCTGCATTTACGAAGTGAAATTCACATTTAATGCTCCACACTTTGGGGAAGGCTTCCTGGCAGTCTTGTTAATTTGCTATTATTTTGGTAATCATTGTTCTTTCTTCTGAGTGGTTATTTTAAAGTGAGAAAGGAACCTAAATTAGTATTGTACATTTTAAGGCATACATTTGCATCCTTCATAGACTTTAATTTATATTTTGGCCAAATAATTTTAAAAGTTTCTATAAAACCAGTTATTTAATAATAGTTTTTATGACCATATTGAATGCAGCAGGAGACAGACTTAATAGCCTCGTGTCCACAACAAATCTCCAGCTATTATTCAAACATCCCACATGCCTTTGACAATTCCACAGACCAATCAAATTCCTACTGATTGCATTATTTGAATCTTGCTAACAACTAGTTCACTATATGCACACGGTAGCTTTTTATTGAATACATCTGTTTTTCCAACTGTAATTTCTATTGCTTTCTCAGATTTACATCATTACAAAAACTACTGTTATTTTCAGTAGAATAATCTTCATACTCATATATGTGCCCTTTCATAGGACATCTGCAATTCAGTTCTAGTACAAAGAGGAAAATGTACAAAAATGAATACTTTAAACATTTATATTTGTAGTAGTAAACATAAGAGAAGATTTCACAGGGAGGGGGAGATAACTTAGACATATACCATGATAGCTAAATAAAAAAATTTAAATTGGGCAATTTGAGAGACAATGGCAAACAAAAACATATAAAAGGATAACTTACTCTCATTTTATGGCAACTTGCTTTTTAAATTTATGTTCATTTTCTTAAAACTATGAACACAGCTTTGAGTTATTGAAATTTGAATAATCTTGATTATCTAAATTTCAAAAACTCAAAACTTATTAAATCAAATTGTGTTGCTTATTTTTGTGTCTTCTGTAACATCCAATGCAGCACTTTGCACATGGAAATACAGTGCAATATGTGAGTAAATAAAAGGATTTCTTTCTTTTTTCAGTGCTGGAAACGGAGCCCAGGGTTTAGTGAATGCTAGGCAAGCACTCTACCTCTGAGCTACATCACCAGCCCTTAAGAAATTATTAAGTCTTCTTGAACTTGGATTATTCGTTTAGCAGGCATTATTTCTTAACCAATAGAGTGGCCTTCAACTTCAAAATTTTTCTTTGCCTCAACTACCATTACTACTATTTGGGTCACAGGGGACATCAGGTCTGTTCTGATTGGTGGCTTGTTACCATGGAGAAGCTGTAGGCAGGCTAATTAGAAGAAGGGCATCCTATGTGCTTGGTGAAGGGTTATATCTGGCTTTCTCTGCTTGGTCCTAAGATGAAAGCCCAGACAAAGATTAGGAAAACTGTCATTTATTATTCAAGTTCTAACTTTTTAATGCCAAATGTTGCAGGGCTTATTGTTTGATTTCTTGGACTGGTTGCTGGAAAAGTTGTCTCTTTTCCAACAAGCATGACTTATAGCAGGCTGGCTTCCTGGGCTGGTTTCTATTGATGGTGGTTTGGTTTCTTTGGATGGTTACCAAGATCATGGATCATACTTCTATTTTTATATGTGTTCTTGTCTGTTTATTTAGTATCTCGAGTACTTAGAAATGATGCAAGTTGTATAATCGAATCAAAGAGGAAAACAAAATCAAGGTGAGAAACTATAATTTTATCCTTGTGCCAAAAATATAGTTTGGCAATTTAGTTGACATTTAAGAAACTTAGTTTAGAGTTGTATTTAAGTTACATATGTACAAAATCTCTGCTAGTGAATGCCCTATCCATAACCTGAACACACACACACACACACACACACACACACACACACACACACATTTCCTATTCCTAACTTCAATTCTCTTGGCCATTTATTATGAAAGACCTTTGCTTCCTATCATGTTTATTCTAGTAATCTAAGATTTACCACTGACTTCCACTTTGGAAGACCAGGACTCAGCTCTTTCTCTTACCACCCTGTGGTACCTGCTCCCACCCCACATAGCACAGACCCCACATTTGTGTCTTCTTGGCCTCTTCATATAGTTCTATCACACTTTGGGGCAGATAACTACTGTCGATGTTATTATGACAATCAAATGCTCTTCACAGCTGATACATGATGTAAACTATGATCATATTTCCTTTGCTTCATGTATTTTCATAATTCCTTTACTTTCATGTATTTTCATAATTCCTTTCCTTTCACGTATTTTCTAATAATAGACTTGTGTTCTGTCAGGTTAATTTTCTAATCATTTCTTTATCAATTTCTTCTAAATTCTATTTACAAATATCTAATTCTCCTTTTGTATTGTTGAGAGCCACAGCCAAAGGGGCCCCAGCAAACTTCCAACTGCCAGCTGATGATTGGCTCACAGCGGCCCCAGCAACATCTAGCTGATTGGCTCCTCTGCTGTGATGTTCATTGGGCTGTTTCCCTGCCCTTCAG